CATAAATAAGAAAAGCATATATATATATATATAAAATTTTTCTTTTAGCAATATCAATTACCTCGACTCTTTTCAAAAGTAGTATTAGTACTTCAAAAAAATCACGTGTGTCATTCATCCGATACATAAGACGTGAATGCAAGTGTTTACTACTAGTAAGTTATATAACTGGGTTTAGTTGAAATCTACTATCTACAATAAATTAAATATCACATCAGTGACAATTATTTTTCGGACGATTCCGTTCTTACTATAATTCAATTATTTCAATAATACTTTATATTTCATTTTTCACTATGTATTTAATTTATTAATCATATCAACAATATAATCATTAATAATTATGCCGACTATTTTGTTATGATGAATGCACATTTAGCAAATTAATTATCTTACTTTTCGTTTTTCAATATGTATTTAATTTATTTAATCATATTTAACAGATTCATTATCTTTTCATTTTTCAATATGTATTTGATTTATTTAATCATTTGAACAATATTATCATAAATTATTTTGTCAATTATTTAGTTATGATCAATGTATATTTGACAGATTCATTCCACATGATTGGATGGCAAATTAAATTTATTAAAAATAATTTTGGAACAAAAGATAAATATTTTTTGAGTTTTCTTCTAATCGATTGATTCAATAAATGTTAAGATGCAAAGAATGTAAATGAGGGATATAATAAGTATCTATAATAAATAATTTCAATTAGTGATGGCAAAAAAACTTGCCCCAACCCGACTCCGTCCCCCTGAATGCGGCCAAAAAAACCCGCCCCGCCCAGGGCGTAACTCGTCATCTCGTCAAAAAAAAATTAAAAAATAATTTTATTTTTGGAACTGATGCAACTACTTCCAGTGTTATGTAATTAGTAGGAGTATTTAACCTATTATAGTCACATGGGGATCAAATGCAAAAGTAATGATGATCTATCTTTTCTATTTTTGAAATTTTGAAAATGCAATAAATAAATAAATAAAAGGGCAGCAAACGGGGTAAGCTACCGCCCCAAGCCGTCAAAGGCGGGGTAGGACAGGGTTTGGGCAGGCCAAACCCAACAACTCCGCCCCGAACCCAACCCACTATCATCTCTAATTTCAATTGATATATTCAATACTTATTAAGCGAATATGATGAAATGATGGTGGAAGATAATGGTAAGTCTTATAAAATGATTAAATGTGTTGGTAATTAGTGTTTTATATCATTGTGCTTAACATAAGCTAAATACCGATGTTTAGGAGTTAATCCTGTTACTTTATATATGTAATTCATATCTAGATAATGTAAATGACTTTTCAACCTCTTCAATAACGTGTCGGCAAAAACAGGTCGACAAGTGATTTAGATATTGGAGTACACTCATCAGTTTTCTTCATGCACTTGTTTGTGTTAGTGTTTCGGTGTGTTTAGGGATCAAGAGTGGATAAATACAAAAATATCAGCAATAAAAACACAATTGCAGTGTTATCTATTACTTATTTGAGGAAAATGTTACGTCGCTTTTGATTCTTGGCATAATTCGATACCTTGTATGTTGTTCTTTTTAAGACTTAATAACACCACACAAACTATAAAGATAGATGGAATCATTTTTACTAAAGCATAATGTGCAACTCTGACATTTTTCATTTATATGTTGATGTTTACTGAAAGACATAAATTTCAATCCAATTACATTTTTGCATCAAGGAAAGATTTAGAGAAAATTAAGTACCTTCACTCCTTAACAATAACATAAAGGATGCATAATACGAAAATAGATAAAGACTAAGACATTTATTTTTGCATGATAGATGAGTGCACTACTTTTCTAGATTTGTTTTCTTATTCAAGTGATGGCTTCGCATCTTCTTTATTTTCTATCCTCTATTGGTAGCTTGTGTACTTCTTGCATCACGATTTGTTTCTAAGTCCTATCACTTTGACCTCTTTCGTCCATCCTCACCAAAAACTTAAATTCTTTATCTTCAGCCAGCATCAAATTTCTGTATTATACACTTTTCTTCTCCTTCGCCTGGCAAAAACATTAGAAGAAAAGCATATATTGGATGATATATTAATAGAAGTTCGAATATTAGTAAGAATATAGCTAAATATATAAGGGTAAAATTGATATTCAAAAAATAAACAGTAAGGGCGCGTTTGATTGCTAATATTTTCTATGGAAAATGTGTTTTTCCACCCAGATTCCTACTTTTGTGCTTTTGATTGTCATTTTTTCCATGAAAAATATTTTCATATTTTTGGTCACGTGACCATATTTCCTCCAAATCAAAGAAAATATTTTCTTTAGGGGGAGTATGATTTTTATTTTCCAAGGAATTCACTTTCTCTCTCTCATCTATCCTCTCTCTTTCATTTACACACCAATAAAAAACAGGCAAGTATAATAATTTTCAGGTTGAAAATTAAATCAATCAAACATATTTAATGGACATTTTCCATATAAATAAAATCTAGGGAATTAAATTACCTAAAATTTATTTTCTTTACATGTAAATTTCATGCTTGCAATTAAACACACCATAAAATTTTTATGTAAAAAGATTAAGTTGAGACAACCCCTCTCTGTGCGCCACTAATCACACTTGATTATAGACAAAAATGCTAAAAAAAATAAAATTAACAATAATTCGAAAGCGAAATAATGCCCAATTAGTCCTTACCAATACTTTTTCTTCTTTTATTATTGACCTTTTGGAGAAGATTTAAACATTTAATACATAACAGTTAGATTCTGAAGGGAGGAGTTATCGAATTTTTATTGAGAGATGAACAAAATGAAAAATATCAAGAAAATTTTGTCTAGCTTCATCGATAGGAACGACTCAAGTCTCTTGGTAGCCGTTTTCTCTTGAGAAGTTCCAAGCTAGAACCTCCTCCTTAAACTATTACTGTCACCACTAAACTCTACCAATTTCTTGGTCGATTTTAAATGTCCAAGCAATTTGCTCACGAAGCTCAAAAACTCAAGCACACCCATTTGTTCCTTCCAAAAGATTGTTTTGGTAGTATTCCAAAACCTCACTAAGTGATTTTATAGAGTCAAACTAATTCCATCTAGATATCAGGAATTTTAAATGTCTAAGTATATAGATATTGCCAAGAAGATGAATAGCTTTTTTGTTTTGTATTTATCATCACAATAATTGAGGATGGACTAGGAAGTCGCCTGGTTATAACTAGTAGTAAGCACGTGCGTTGCACGTCTTATGTATCGATGAATGATAGACGTACTATTTTTGAATTATTAATACCATTTTTTAAAATAATAGAGGTAATTGATATTGTTAAAGGGAAAATTACAATTGAGTGTGTATAAGTTTTTATGAAATTATGTATATAATGTGAAAATGTTGAATAAACTAAAATGTAGTGATATAATTACAATAATACTTCTTTGTACACGATATTTTTTTTTAGCATCAAATGTCTCAATTAATATATTAATGCAACATTTAGCACATTTGTTACCTCATTAATACATTAATGCAGCCTTTCAATGTTGTTACCTCGAGTAAACAATAACCTAATGGATGGATTATAGTGTAAATCTTGAAGATTAATAAGGGCTTTGTTGATAAAAATAAAAATTCAATGGATGAATTATAATGTAAATCATGAAGATTAATAAGGGTTTTGTTTATTGAAAATAAAAATTGTGAGAACAAAATACTCAATTGAATGATAAGTCACTAAATTTTCGTTGTTTTTTTTCTTTTTCTTTTTTTATAATAATTGAATGTCAATTTTACTCCTTATATTAATTTCAACCCAAATGATAAATATTAATTAAATATTTCACCACCTATATTAATTCTAAATCAAATGATAAATATTAATTATATTTGTAATAAGACTTTGTTGATGAAAATTAAAAATTGTAAAGAAAAAAAATCAATTGAATGTTAGTCATTGAATTTTCGTCTATAATTTCTTTTTTATTAATCGAATGTCCTATTTGTAACCTCAATTAAATAATAATTGAATGAATTATAATGTAAAGCATGAAGATTAAAAATTGCTCCGTTGATGAAAAATAAAAACTTATAGCATGAATTATAATGTAAATCATGAAGATTAATAAGAGTTTTGTTGATGAAAAATAAAAATTGATTCGTTGGTGGAAAAAAAAATTGTAAGAACAAAATGGTCAATTCAATGGTAAGTCACCGATCATTTATTTATTTATTATTATTATTTTTTATATTTAATTGAATGTTAGTTTCACATCACTTCTTATATTAATTTCAATCCAAAATGAAAAATATCAATTAAATATTTCACTCCTTATATTATATTAATTCTAAACCAAATAATAAATACTAATTAAATTGGTATTCCAATTATGAGGGTATAATGGGCATATAGTTAGATATGTAGGGGTAAATTTGGCATTTAAAGTTTCTCCACCATCCCCTCTTTTAATATATTTAGATTAGATAGATAGATTGATAGAGAGATAATTAGCTAATATCAATTAAAAAAAATAATTGAATTGAATTGATATTGATCATTGATTCTTCTATGAATTTCGGTATATGGTCTATGCCCTTTCATCTTCTTGTATTGAAATTAGTTTAATACAAGGGAAGCATTAATGTTTTTAAAATAAAATCAGTACAAATTAAGTAAATAGACTAAGGACATTATTGACAAAAGGATTTTTTTTTTTTTTTTTTTAAAGGTTGATGGCAAAATGGAAAAAATGGGTATTAGGTGAGGGTATATTAAGCCTATTGCTAAACATGTAAGGGTGAAATTAGTATTTAAAAGTTGAGTAATGCTATTTACAGTCGCTCATTGTCGTAATCGCCTTATATAGCATACATGTGACGGTTAATAATTTAATATATTAATTTAGTAATTTTTTATTATCTTACGTAACAAATCACTAATCGTAACATGTATATTACGTAAAGCAACTACAGTAGTGGACAACTGCAAATAACAATATTCTTAAAAGTTTCTTGTTATTCCTTCCATCTTAAATTAAATATTGTAAATAAATAAGAGAGTGACTTGGGTTCTTTACATCGCACTCGATACAGATATGATAGGGATTGAAAGAAGAACCCTGCTGGCTATACTGCTCGTGTGAAAATAGGGCCTATACAGGCCATTCACAATACATGGGAGGTGGGTGAATTTTTATTTTTATTTTTATTTTTATTATTTTTTTAAATAATCACCCACTCCCTCCACCCAGGCATGTGAGTCGGCGTCCCTGTGCAGCAGGCAAAATTCTTGAAAGAATAGTGTACCAAACGTGACTTTCGCACCAACCTCCTTCCTCTCCTTCATCCCAACTTCCATCTCCGTCACTTTGCACTGAATTGTCTTTTCCGGAAAATGTGATACAGAATTGATGGGGTGGGACCGACAACGTGGGTAGAATGAAGAAGACGAGGAAACAGACGACGTTATTTCAGAGATATTCACAAAAAGAAGGCTACTTCACACAATTGAAATACAATATATTATCACACCATCTCGATATAACAAATTATTTTCTTAGAGAAGTGTCATTTTACAACGCCAAATGCAAGGGTTAGGTTATAATTAACATGTAATCAACCATCCTTTCGACATAAATAAAAAAATTTAAAAACAGTTTTTCGACCATGGAACTGATTAATCAGAAAGACTTTAGTGGCTAATTAATTAAGGTTTAGTGGACTAATCAATTAAGTTTATTGCTAGGCAACCAAGTTACAGTCAATATTCTCATGAAACTTCCAACATAAACAAATACTGTTGGCAAAAATCAGCACTCTATTTTTGCACTTCACCATGTATCCGATTAAAGATTTTATATGTTTACTAATTATTTGACTGTTGGTAGTTCTCCTTGTATTTATTTTCCGGGATTAATTTTATATAATTCCATTATAAGAGATAAAGAAACTTTATTCAAGGTGACTCTCATTATGAGAACCATTATAACTCAAAAAAGAGTGGCCTAGGTTATTTATATCCCATTCGACACTGATACAAAGTCAGGTTTTAAGACAGATACAGAAATATGCAAAAGTTAGGTGCCAAAAGCTGAATTATATGTCAACTCTCCATAGTATTACCAACTTAAACTAATTGGGATCTTAAACAATCAAACTTTTGAGGGCAGTAGGTGAGGTCAGCTGTTAGATTTGAAGTTTATGGTCAAATCTTCATAAAAGTTTTAGAAAAGAAAAAAAGTTCATTGGCAAATTTATCAAGATAGTCCTCTAAGCAATGGTCAAGAGGATAAATGTAACGTATCCATTGGGCGGAAAGCTCCAAAAACACAAGTTTATTCCAATAGATTTTGAAGAACGAGATTATAATAACAATTATGAAGTAAATCAGATCACGCGACGAAAAACAAGATTAAATTTGTAAAAGAGGAATAAAGAAAATTAACACATAGGAAACGCCGTTTTCATTAAACAATATGGAGAAAACAAGTCAATTTAGTTAACTGTTACAATTAAAACTGAAGATAGGTGTCTCTAATTTATAAGCCACAACCAAAAACCTAAAAGAGTCCTAAAAGATGAGGAAATATTTTATAATTAGGAGAAAGCTTGGATGGGATTCTAGTTTCCTATTTTATCTTGGATACAATTTGATTTCCTTTTCAAATTTGGATTCTAATTGATTCCTTTTTAAGCCAAGTCAAACACGTAATCCCAAGACTCTTATTCCATATTAGAGTCACAAACCTAACAATCTCCACCTTGACTCTAATTCCAGTGCTACGAACGAAACTTCTAGATTTCAAATTCATCTGCATCGAAATTAATTGATCGAATCTCGTCAACACAATAACCACTCCATATAAACCAAATACTCGTCCTCTGCTCGAGGTCCACAGCTGACACCCGAACCCAATCCCCAGGGTTCCCAATTCCACCAATGAATTAATGTTGATTACACAGGGCAGAAGCAAACCCTGTAGCAAGAACCAAATCAGATGCTTGATCAGAAAGCCCCTTGCTGGAACTGTCGCCTTCAACGTCCCTAGAAGCATCCCAGACATTGTTGACATCATGGTACCTACGCTTGATGAGTCCTACCCCAGCAACTAAACACGGTGTACTCGCTGAAATTGGAGGCAAAGAGGAATCACCAACGCTTTCCCTAGTAGTGTTCTGAATGGATTCAAAGCCCAAAACAAGAGGTACTATACCAAACTGAACTTCCACCACAATACTAAACTTGTCCAAATCTCTCATCTTAATTGGTTTTGCACTCCCCTGCAAAATGTACAACTGGGATCTTTTCCGTCCCTCCAGTACAATATGGACTCCCTTTCAGACCTTCAAGACTCCACCCCCACCAAAGAATTTATACCATTTTGCATCCAGTGTATTTAGCGAAATGAGATTCCTTTTCAGGTCAAGAACATATCGAACTTGATCAATTGTTCTAAATGTTCTATCCCGCAGTCTCAATTTGACTCGACCGATCCCAGGAATATGGCAAGATTGGTTGTTTCCCACTACAACTCCACCTTGCCGAACAACCTCATATGTCTGAAATAAATTCCTATCGGAACACATATGGTGTGAACATACTGAATCAAGAATCCACTCCTCATTAGGCCTAGACTCCACATCAGATACCACAATCAACATCACCTCTTCGCTATCTGAACAATTCTCAACTACATTGGTTTCGTCTGAATTCAAAGGTTGCACCTTACGATTTGCAGCTAAATCACCTTTAGCCTTCAACATATCGCAATCTTTTTGAATATGTCCCTTCCTTTTGCAATAGTAACAGGTCGCATTGCTAAATCAGACTCTCGATCAGCCTCTTCGTTGACCACATTGAGATACAAGAGCTTCCCCATCTCTTGATGAAGCTCCAACCAAATGCTTCATTTTCTCTTTTGAGTGCAAACCACATAGACATCTTCTACAGTCAAAATATCTCGACTATAAAAGATAGTATCCTGAAACGACGCATAAGATCTAGATAGTGAACACAACAGGATCAAGGCAAGATCCTCTTCATCGTACTTAACTTCCAACATCTCTAGATCTGCAACCATTTCCTTGAACAAGGCAACATGGTTTTCCAACGACTCTCCTTCCGCCATTCGATGTGAATACAGCTTCTGCTTGAGAGCCAGTTTACTTGTAAGACTCTTAGTCATACACAACTGCTCCAACTTCAACCACAAAGTAGTCGTCGCTTTCTCCTTCAAGATATCTTGTAGAATATTGTTGGACAGATGAAGATGAATAAATGAAACAACCTTCCGATCATTTCGTTGTTTCTCCTCCATTGTCCAATCAGCTGGCATGTTCTCAATACCCAGTAATGGATCATCCAAATTTAGTTGCGCCAAAATAGCCCTCATCTTTACTTGTCACAACGAGAACCTTATATTGCAATCTAACAGCGGGACATCATACTTCAACCCAACCATCGCATAAGAATCTCAACCAATCAATATAAAACCAACAATCTCGCTCTGATACCACTTGTTGGCGCGGAAGCTCCAAAAACACAAGTTGATTCCAATGGATTTTGAAGAACGGATTATAATGACAATTATGAAGTAAACCAGATCACGCGATGAAAAACAAGATTAAATTTGTAAAAGAGGAACAAAGAAAATTAACGAATAGTAAACGATGTTTTATAGAACAATATGGAGAATACAAGCTAATTTAGTTAACTGTTACAATTAAAACTGAAATGAGGTGTCTCTAATTTATAGGCCACAACCAAAAACTTAAAAAGAGTCCTAAAAGGTAAGAAAATATAATATAATTAGGAGAAAACGTGAACGAGATTCTAGTTTCCTATTTTATCTTGGACGCAATTTGATTTCCTTTTCAAACTTGGATTCTAATTAATTCCTTTCTAAGCTCCTATTCCCTATTAGAGACACAAACCTAACAGTATCATTATTAAAATTAGTCTACTTTTTTTTTATTCATCTTCTTCCTTGTCCCATCCCGATCTTACCCCACCCCAGCTCCCTTTCTCACCAACCCATTCCTCTTCTTCATCCCAACTTCCATCCCCATCGCTTTGCATTGAAATGTCTTCTCAGGAAAATGGGATACAACTTTGAAGGGTAGGGCCTTCATGTTGGGTAGGATGAAGAAGACGAGGAAACAGACAAGGTTATTTCCTAGATATTCACAAAAAGAAGGCTACTTTTCATAATTACTTACAAAATGAGGCTCTAATTTATCTTATTTCACCCAACTTGGTGCGCCTTTTCAAAAAAATTAAAATTATTTCCAAAGTATTAAATTTTTCTTGCAACTCGTATAGGCTGAAAACAATGTATGATTAAAAACAAGAGTAGTTATTGACCATTCAAGCATCAATTTGGACAAACCATTCTGGCTTTCTTTATCTGTTCGTACTAAGAATTTGCTATGTATTTCATTAGGTCACATCAAAATCTTCATTATCACTTTTTGAGCAGTGATTGATTCCTGCTTATAAAGGAAGAAATGAAGAAATTTGAATTTACCTTAAGAAATTTGTAGCCATGAAAACATCTCATAGAGCCTTTATTTTCCTTCTTCATGTTCTGCTTATTTCTTTACATCCAGTGAAGATCACGTCGTCTGCAAGAACAGAAGCAGCGGCTATTGTGAAGTGGAAGAACAGCTTGTCTTCTCCTCCTCTGAATTTATGGTCCCTTGGAAATCTTCAAAATCTTTGCAGATGGACAGGAATTCTCTGCAACAACGGGGGATCGGTTTCTGAGATAAACTTATCCAATGCAGGCCTCTCTGGCACCCTTGACCAGCTTGATTTTACTGCATTTCCAAACCTGACGAGACTCAACCTCAGTTTTAACAATTTCAGCGGGTCGATACCATCTAGTATTGGAAGTGTCTCCAATATCACTTTCTTGGACTTGAGTAACAATGTATTGGAGGACATCATTCCAGTGGAGATTGGAAATTTGACAGAGCTTCAATACATTAGTTTGCACAACAACAATCTCAAAGGTCAAGTTCCACATCAAATTGGGAAGCTTCAAAAGGTCGAACACATGGATGTTGGATCAAATCACTTGGTGAGTCCCCAATGGTCTCAAATCACAAGCTTCCCTTTGCTGACATATCTCAGCTTTGGTGATAACGAAATCACCTCAGGATTTCCAGATTTTATACTTGGTTGCTGGAATCTTACTTATCTTGATTTGTCTCAAAACCACTTAACTGGACTAATTCCCGAATCATTATTCGTCAATCTAGGCAAGCTTGAATATCTGAACCTTTCTACCAATTCCTTCCAAGGGCCATTGTCATCAAATCTTACCAAACTGTCAAAGTTGAAAAATCTTCGCTTAGCAACCAACAAACCTTCTGGCTCAGTCCCTGATATTTTCAACTCGATGCCTAATCTCGAAATTCTTGAACTGTTTACCAATTCATTCGAAGGAAAGATACCCTCTTCTTTAGGACAACTCAAGAATCTACAGAAACTAGATTTGCGAGAGAATGGCCTGAATTCCACAATTCCTTCGGAGCTTGGCTTGTGCACCAACCTTACCTATTTGGCTTTAGCCAAAAATTCACTTACTGAATCCTTGCCTTTGTCCTTGTCGAATCTGACCAAGCTGATAGAGTTGGGTTTATCGGATAATAATCTATCCGGTGATGTTTCGCCTTATTTCATCTCAAATTGGACCCAACTAATATCATTGCAGCTTCAAAATAATTCTTTCACTGGGGAAATTCCATCTGAAATAGGCTTACTGACGGAACTCAAATATCTTTTTCTATACAACAATAAATTTTCAGGCTCCATCCCTCCCGAGATTGGAAACCTGAAAAATTTGATGAAGATGGGCCTTTCAAGAAACCGGTTTTCCGGCATAATACCTCAAACAATCAAGAACCTGACAAATTTACAGATCCTGCAACTTTTCTCCAACAGTCTTACTGGAACTGTTCCACCTAAGATTGGAGACTTAACATCACTAGAGATGCTTGATGTAAGCGCAAACCAATTAAGTGGGCAGTTGCTAGATTTCATCTCGAACCTCAGTGCCCTGCAAACTATTTTCCTGTTCTCTAATGAATTTTCAGGAATCATTCCCCACGACTTGGGAAAGAATAGTCCCAAATTGGCAAATGTTAGTTTTTCAAACAATAACTTCACAGGTGAACTGCCTTCTGGATTATGCAGTGGCTTTCTTCTCAATCAATTTACAGTGAATAACAACAATTTTACCGGGAGGTTACCCGGTTGCCTGAAGAATTGCTCGAGCCTTAATAGAGTACGGCTTGAAGGCAACCGATTTTCTGGGAATATTTCAGAGGCATTTGGAGTTCATCCGAATCTCGAGTTCATCTCTCTCAGCAGAAATCAATTCACAGGACAACTTTTAACTAAGTGGGGACAATATGAAAGGCTTACAAATCTTCAGATGGATCAAAATAAAATTTCTGGAGTGATTCCAGCCGAGCTAGGCAATTTAACACAGTTGCGTGTCCTAAATCTGGATTCGAATGAACTGATAGGTGAAATTCCTGTTGGACTGGGAAATTTAACTGAACTGCTCAATCTCTATCTGAGCAACAATCAGTTGACTGGAGAGATTCCTCGAACTATTGGGCGCTTAACAAAGCTCCAATATCTTGATTTATCAGCAAACAAAATAGAAGGAGATATTTCAGAAGATCTAGGCAATTGTGAGAGCTTGCAGTTCTTGAACTTGAGCAACAACATTTTATCAGGGAATATCCCGTCAGAACTTGGCAACTTAAATGGGTTACGATACTTGTTGGACCTTAGTAATAATTCACTTTCAGGAACAATTCCTCCAAACTTGGGAAAGCTTACCTCTTTGGAGAATCTGAACCTGTCACATAACAAGATTTCAGGTAGAATCCCTTCAGCATTATCTGCTATGGTCAGTCTGAGATTCATGGATTTCTCCTTCAATTACTTTTTGGGTCCAATCCCGACTGGTGATCCATTTAGGAAAGCACCCGCCAAAGCTTTTATAGAGAACTCTGGCCTGTGTGGAAATGCAAACGGGTTATCGCTTTGTGATGAGGTCTCTTCAACTTCCAAGTCACAGAATAACGATCGAAAAATCCATATAGCTGTAATTGTTACAGTTGTCAGCCTCATAATTTTGGCAATCACTATTGTTGGATGTCTCATCTTTTGGTCGAAAACCAAGCCAAATAATGACAAAACCAAAACTGCACCAGAATTTGAGAATTTGGAATCTCTCATTTGGGAAAGAGAAGGAAAATTTACAATTGGAGATATTGTCAAAGCAACTGAAGATTTTAGTGCGAAATACTGCATTGGAAGTGGAGGATTTGGAAGTGTTTATAGAGCAGTTTTGACATCTGAGCAGATTGTAGCAGTTAAAAAGCTCAGCATGTCAGACTCAAGTGATGTACAGATGGGCAATCGTCGTAGTTTTGAGAATGAGATTCGAACATTGACAGAAATACGGCATCGGAACATAATCAAGCTCCACGGATTTTGTTCCTGGAGAGGGTTCATGTACTTGGTCTACGAGTATATAGAAAAGGGTAGCTTGGGGAAAGTTTTGCATGATGATATGGAGGCATTCGAACTAGGCTGGGCTATTGAGGCTGAAAATCGTCCAGGGAGTGGCTCATGCACTGGCTTACTTGCATCACGACTGCTCCCCGCCTATTGTCCACCGGGATGTATCAGTAAACAATATTCTACTTGAGTCAGATTTTGAGCCACGGCTCTCAGATTTTGGCACAGCTAAGCTACTGATTTTGGATTCATCAAATTGGACCACAGTTGCTGGTTCTTATGGCTACATGGCACCTGGTAATTTAGTACTGTTATATGTATCTTGTCCATTGCCCATTCCTTATTCTGCTTTAGTGTATCTGCTCTTCCTTAGGAAGTATATAGCTGCTTTTCTGTACCTGTGTTTTGAGAAGATGTAACAAGTTAACTTTTTCGGAAATGCAGAGCTAGCACTTACAATGAAAGTTACAGAGAAATATGATGTTTACAGCTTTGGAGTGGTGGCATTGGAGATAATGATGGGACGGCACCCGGGAGAGTTCATATCTTCACTTTCATCCTCAACAACAACAGCAGCATTGCAAGGTAATCCCGATTTGTTTTTGAAAGATCAGCTTGACCAACGGCTTTCACCTCCTACTGGCCAAATAGCAGAGAGAGTGGTGTTTTTAGTAACCATTGCATTAGCATGCACACAGGCCTCACCAGAGTCGCGGCCTAACATGCGTTTTGTTGCACAAGAATTGTCAGCTAAAACTCAGGCTTACTTCCAGAGCCACTGGGAACAATAACAATTAGGAAACTAACAGATTTCCAGAAATAGGAGTCCAGCAAGAGTGTTTTGAAAATCTTAGAATATAATCATCACTTGTATTGTACAACGTAATTATATTGATGCGCTGTATCATATAGTAGGATAAGGGTGTACAAATATGCAACAATCACACTGAAAATGGATGCATTCTTCGTTTTATCCTTCATCTTCACACACTGAAAATGGATGCATTCTTCGTTTTAGCCATTGTAGATATTATAATTGACAATAAAGCATTTGATGCTGATGATCCGATTCTATTTTGAAAATATAAAGCAGATAGAAAATTATAAAATTATGAACATGGATCAACTATTAACATGGTAGCACAAATGCACTATTTAGGGGTGTCAATGAGCTGAGCTTTTAAGGTTTGACCCAAGCTTTCGGCTCGAGCTTTACCGAGCCAAGCCGGCTTTTTTTTTTTCCAGCTGTCGGGAAGCTATAAAGCTGCCTGTTGAGGCAGCAGAGCAGTTTTATAGCTGCCTGTTCGTAGCTATAAGGCGACAATTGGCAGTAGATTAGCTGTCGGTTTGGCAGCAGAAATGCAGCCTCAACAGGCAGCTATGAAGCTGTCAGTTAAGGCGGCAGCATATCTGCTACCAATCTGTTTCCTGTTTGGCAGATTTGCTGCCAAACAGGTTGATTTTTTTAAAAAAAAAATTTAAAATTTAAATGGGCTGGGCCAGGCTCAAGCCGACTCCCCGAAAATGGGCTCGAGTTGGCGAGCCCGATTGTCATCTTTATCAGTACTACTATGACCAAGTTTTTCTTCTTTGAGATAGTTGAGTGAAAATACAGACATCGATGCATATCATATACCAAGTTGATTGCAACAGAAAAGGAGTACTAGCATTAAAAACCATCTCCAAACTTGACATGAAATCATAATTTGATACACATTTGTAGAAATCTGGTTTTAATTGTTGATTGATTGATGTACCATATTTTGGATGATTAGGATTGATTGATGTACCATATTTGAACTTTCCTTTTTTCGATAGGCTAATTAGCTCTCTCCTAATTTACGAGATTGTTTACCATCTTTACCTTCATACTTTGTATTCAAATAGCTGAACAGATGAATAAACAATAATCAATTCACACAATCATTCGTCTATTATTCTCTTCATGGTATTAGAGCTAGGCTCCAAATCAACCTAGCAATCAATGACAACCAACAGTAAGGATTTTACAACTTCTGAATCCTCTCTAAGTGAGACAGAAATTATCTCCTCGATGGGCTCCAATAATGTCAAAAATCCTTCTTTTCAATGGAAGGAATTTTTTAGCATGGGCTCAATCTATCAAATTGCTAATTGAAGGCAAAGGAAAAATAGGTTACCTCACTAGTGACACCAAGCAGCCGACTAAAACCACTCTTCTTCGGAAGTGGAGATCTAAGAATGTCATGATAACTACATCACTGGCGGAGCCAGCACCCGGCGAGCCGGCATGGCCGCCCGTGCTGGCTCTAGTAGGAAAGGATTTTCACGTTGATGTAGTTATTATGTTAAATATGTAAAATTGTACCTCTATTCACATTTATGATTGTAGCTCATTTGGTAGGGCATTGGTTTTGCAAGTGAGAGGTAACCGGTTCGACTCCTCTTCTTTCCAATTTTTCTTTTAATTTTTCAAATACAATAAATAATAGTTAAATAATTGTATACTATTTTGTTTTAACTAGCACTGATGTAGCTTTGTTTCTCAATTGGGAATTCCATTTTTATCATATCAGAGATATGGGATTCGATTCCCTTCACCTCTTCTTCTTCTTTTTAATTTTTTAACACAATAAATAATAATTAAACAATTCTATATTAATAGTTTTTGTTTCTAAAAAAAATCTTTAAAAAAATTTGTTAACTCAAATTATTACTTCATAGTATATACTTTTATTATTATATTTTATCAATTTATTTTGTAAAATTCAAATTTGGACAATTTAATTACTGATCTTTATTATTTTAAGAGTTTGAAAAAAAGATTTCTTTTTTCGGGTAAAAATAGCTTTAAAAATCATTGCTTTAAAAATTTATTGACTGAAATTATTATTTCATAATATATACTTTAATTGTTAAATTTTATCAATTTATTTTGTAAAATTCTTTGTTCTTCTCAGAGTTAGAAAAATACTTTTCTTTTTGAGAGCAAAAATAGCTCTGAAATTCATTATTTTTTAATTTTTCTCTTTATCGATTAATCAATACATATAAACTTCATCTTGTCTCGCTTAAATTCATAAAAATTTGAAACTTGATAATAATTATATGACTCAAAAAAATGTATTTTTATTCTTTATTATTTTGAGTTGTACTGAATTATATTTTAATATTTATATTATTTTACATTTTAGTGCATTTATATATTGATTGGAGATTCTTTTAATATAAGTTAATTAAATATTGGTAAACAATATCGCTATATAGGATGGTGTTTGATAAATGCTCCACTCACCGCCTAGCTCACTCGAGCAGCTGGATTCGTCCCTGACTACATGGCTCGTGAATTCCATGATTCCATTCATAGGGAAAACTTACCTATTTCTGTCGAAGGCAAAGGAGGTATGGGAAGCAGTGAAATAAACCTACGCTGATGGAGAAAATGCGTCACAAATTTTTGAAATTGGCAAATCAAATAGGGAGAAAGAGAGGTCACAGATTATTACTTGGAAATGACTAATTTGTGGCAAGAACTCGACCTTAGCCTTGACGAGGAATGAGATTGCCCCGATGATAAGGTGTGCTACAAGAAAAGGGTCGAAAATGAGCTGGTCTATGAATTCCTTGTTGTTCTTAATTGCGAATTGGATGAAGTAAAGGGGATAATCTTAGGCCAACGATCCCTACCATCTACTCGGAAAGCTTTTTCAAAAGTGAGAAGAGATGAAACTCGTCGGAAAATCATGTTGAAGAGCGACGATTCTGACATCGTGATGGAGCCTTTTGCGATGGGGTCAAGACGAAATTGACATGGGTCTTCTAGTTACCGGCCAACTGGATTGAAAAGAAATAGTGGGCTTGCAAGTAATGGACAAGTAGTAAAAGGTCAAATGGATGGCTTGAAAAATTCTATAATGGGTCAGCTGAAACTGCTGGGACACTTAGGCCTACTGGACATAATATTGGGCCTGGAATAAATCTTTCAAAAGGCTCAAAACAAAGAAGATGACCTTGTTGTAAACACTCAAGTAAACCAGGATACAATGAAGATACTTGTTGGGATAAACATGGGAAGCCCACCGACTCGAAACCAAGACAAAGTACTAGGAGTCGAGGCTATCATGCATCAATTGACCTAGCTTAAAATACTAAGGAAAATAATTCCACTCCAAGTGCATTTAATTCTGAACAATTGGAACAACTGTATCAACTTTTCTCCAACCTTTAAGCTTCGTGTCAACATTCCACTCACTCACTCACTGTCCTTCGAGTTCACTAGCTCACAAAGGTAATCATTTAAGAGCCTTGACAACCTCCTCAAAATACAAAATTTCATGGATCATTGACTCAAGTACGTCCGATCACATAACTGATTCTTACCACATTTTCTCCACATACTCCCCATGTGTTGTCAATATTAAAATTAAGATTGCGGATCAACCGTTGCACGAGAAGGGAGTATCCAAATATCTAAATCTATAACTCTAAAATTCGTACTTCATGTCCCAAATTTATCGTGTAATTTGTTATCCATTAGCCAGTTAACAAAAAATTTCAATTGCTTCGCTAAATTCTTTCCATCTCACTGTATCTTTCAGGACCTATCATCGGAGAATACGCTTGATAGTGCTAAAGAGTATAAGGGACTCTACTACTTTCAGGATGTAGATATGAGTAAGCCAACTCATATCGCAATTTGTAATTCTGCATTTGCCTCTAGGGATAGTGAAATTTTATTATGGCATTACAAATGGGGCTCCCTAACATGCAATATCTAAAACGTGTACTCCCATCTATTTTTTTTTAAAATAAAACTCTTTTTCACTTTCAATGTGAGATTTGTAAACTCGCCAAACACCAATGGAGTGTATTTCCGAAATCCATATACAAACTATCTAAACCATTTACTATGATCTATAGTGATCTATGGGAGACCTCACGAGTCCCAAATCCCACTCACACAAGATGGTTTGTTACATTTATAGATGATCATACTCGGATTTGTTGGGTTTACATGCTGAAAGAAAAAATTGATGTTCATTCAGTATTTATCAACTTTCACTCAATGATTCAAACACAAATTCAAATCCTTCGAATCGATAACAGTATTGAATACTTCAACACGTCCTTAAAGGACAACCTTCGTCCATCGAAGCTCTTGTGTCGACACTCCTCAACAAAATGGGATTACCAAATGCAAAAATAAATACCTTCTTGAAGTTGCTCGTGCTTTGATGTCCAAAATATGTCAAAAACATTCTGGGAAACTTTGTTCTAACCTCTACCTACCTTATCAATCGAATGTCTAGTTGCATACTCAACTTCGAATCACCCCTTCGAAACTTCAAAGATTCTTTCCTGCCTCATGACTATACTTAGACTTACATCTCAAGATATTTGGTTGTATTACATTTGTCCATATTCATTCTCACCATCAAAATAAACTAGATCCTCGCAATTAAATGTGTATTCATTGGATACTTAGCCACTCAAAAGGGCTACAAAAGTTGCGATGCAATGTCCCGAAATTTCATAGAGTAAGATTAAATTTGTGTGCTATATTTTAATATTTTGGAAGTGTAGGGGGTAAAATATATATAAAGTAAACTTCAAATTTAATTAGGTTAAAATGTGGATATTGACTGAGCGATAATAAGCATATGAATATTGGGCTCGTTGGATAAGTCATAATTAAAGATATATATTAGGCTCAAGAAAATGTTAATTTGGATTAGAGGAGCCTAAGTTATTGAGGTCGAAATATTTAGCCTTAAATTATTATTATTATTTTAGAGTATGGATTGTATTTGGGTGATTTCACGTGCAAGATTCTTGGTGGGTGGTGGTTAGTGATTGTTTTGTTTATTAAATTTAGATTTAAAAAAAAAAAAGAATGAATAAGAAAAAGAAAAAGAAAAAGGGATGAGGTAATGGTCAGCCACGTGAATGGATGTGAGGTTTCAAGTAGTATGGTTTGGTGACACATACATGAGATAAGACTTAGTCAAATATTTGATTTCAAACTACGTTTCTTCTACCTTTATCCACTTAACTTATCCCACACGTTTTCCACTATGCCAACTCTTTAGTATGGAGGTTATTATTGCCTATGAATATAGATGCATATCATGATAGAAAAGAAACAAAAAGATATATATCCAGGCATGGTATAAGCAGAGGCATAGAAAAAAGGGGAAATGAATCTTTGGAACGTGGAATTTTGTTTTGACTTCCAAAATTTAAGCATTTTAATAAGGTAGGATATGAAGTGCAGTATTTTTATATCCCGTTTAATTATTTTTTTCACATGCTGACGAATTTTATACTCATGAAAGTTAAAGTTATAATATGAATGATATGGCCATTCCGGTACAATGAAATGATAAGATATGATGTGAGATCTTACCGGATTTTAAAGTTATGCGACGGTATGATATTCTCACACATGTTTTAAAAATTATTCGGGATCGCACCATTAAAATTTTTATATCCTATTGAGTATTCTCATATACTCACCATTTTCCCTACGTCTCACATGTTAGATCGAGTTGTGACGGAGCGTGGTAGTTCGATGGCATAGTTGTGCTTTGATTCGCTGGATAAAGGACTAAATTAACACATAATTTTTATTTATTTTAAGTTACTGCAATGGACATTTAGTTATAAATAAATTTTTGTACATGCTTAATTGTAGATGAATATATATAGTCTGCATTTTAAATAAAATTTTGAATTAAAGGTTTTTTTTTTTTTTGACTGATTTGGTTGTTAGAAAGAGTCTGGATATGTTTTACAATTTAGTTTATGCTAAAGATTACCTTTATGAACCTTTCCGTGATATACCCATAAAAGAAACATATGGTCAAAGCATGATACTGTGTATTCTTACTATTCAAGCTTGAACATAGACAATCCCGTTAAACTGCAAACCGAAACGTGGAACAACTCTAGAAATTTGTCTAATCGATTTATAGTTTGCATGCATGTCTAAATTATTGCACCTACCATAATGATGTTAATTTAATTGTATTCTGACTTCTGAGGCCACGTACCACACGCTGAAGGAAGCGAAAATATATTGCTTGGGAATCTTTTAATTTCTGGAGACATATTTTGCCTTGTGTCTTTGCATGGTTGCGGAAAAAAACAAAAGGAAAGAAAATTATATTGATTACTGCATAGGTATACGTGCATATATAAATAAAAATATTGCATGCCATGTTTGAGACTTCACATATGGGTAGGGATAACAGTTCTAT